ATATTTTTCCAGCAAAATTGTATGATGTGGAACATACTCTATATGAACTTTTGATTTATGAGTTCATTTTATTTTAAGAATGCTAACTGCTAGATTACAAGTGGGTTTGCTAGGGTCATTATGCTTTCAATTTTGTTTTTGATATTTTGGGATTTGTACAACATTTTGCACATAGGAGGAATATCAATTTTTATGTTTTTGACTTTTGCAATTATGCTTAGAAATATATCTTCCACATTTGGAGTCCATTGTAGAATAATATATATCAATATCACTAATTGGTGGGTTGGAAAGAGCATTTGACTAATAGTTTATTTGGGTTTTAGTCCTATAACAATTAGTTTGGGGATGCTAGACATTCCATGTGGCTCTGTGAGCTTCAGTTCGCTCATCTCTCAAGGGAGAGCATTAGACCCTAGACAGCCTCAGCACCAAAGTGTAGAGATCCCCTGCATGGACTGCAGGAACAAAGTCACCAGTGCATCAGCATCTTTCTTTTAGGATGGAAAGTACTACAATTACAGTCCGTGAGCAAAGGTGAGGGGCATGGGGTGATAAGGACACATATGTAATACCTTAATCAATAAAGAAAGAAAGAAAATAGGTAGTCACAACTGAAACGATGTCCACCATAATGTCAGCACTCCCTGCCTTGAGTTGCTAAGTGTGTATGTTTCACTGGCTTTTCAAGAGCCTCTTTTTACAACCCCAAACAGTATGAGTGATTCACAAGCCTTTCTACATTAAATTATTGGACATACAACTATAATGTATATATGATTTTGTGTGTGTGTGTGTGTGTGTGCGTGTGTATGTGTGTGTTTAAGCCAACTGCATCAAAAAAAAAAAAAAGAGAGAGAGAGAGAGAGAAAGAGAGAGAGATAAGGACATCAAGGGATGAATTTGCACTGACTTCTTGGAACTAGTTATCTCTTAGAAATAGCTATCGATATCTCACTGCAGAAGGATGGTACATGGCTTTTAAAGGATTTATCTAAATTTACTGTAACAAAGAACAGAAATGTATTTTTAAGTTGATTGTTTTTGATACATTTAAATTATTATTCACTGTTCATTCTGCTAAGTAATGCTAATGGCACTCTTCTACTAAGAGCATCCACATACAAAGCTTGTATTCCATGTGTACTGCTTGTAAAACCAAGCTGTCTACCAGGATGATATAAAAATATTAGAGACCCGGTACACCAAATTCATGCCCTTGGGGTGGGTCCCTCAGCTTGACCTGTGCCCTCTCACAGTCTGGAAGCCCTGGGGAATGTCCAGCTGGCAGCTTAGTGAGTCTAAGCTGTCAGTCAGACATGCTTAGCATTGCCAAGGAGGAGGGAGAGGCTCCCACCACTGCTGCTGTGCTCGCCTGCTATGAGCCCAGCTTCTGGATGTGCAGCACTTTTCCTGTGGGAAAGCACTGACCATCAGGGGGCAGCTCCTGTGTTGAGTGTCTGCCCCCTAGTGGTCAGTGCACATCATAGTGACCGGTCATTCCATCATTAGGTCATTTGCATATTAGCCTTTTATTATGTAGGATACACTGTAGATGAGGCCCCCTAGAACCATAAGAAATGCAAAAAATTCACTGTTAACTCATTCTCGAATTGCCCCCTCTTAAAATCAAATTGCCCCACTCCCTGAGGGGCATGTGCTGAACCTTGGGAACCCCTGGGCTTGACACTTTTCTTCTCTGTGGACCCTAAAACAAACAAAACAAAACAAAACAAAACAAAAAACACAAAACAAAACAAAAAAAAAGCCAAGTTTATGGTTGCCAGGAGTTAGGGAATAGAAAAAATTGGGAGATGTTTGTTGGTTAAAGGGTATAAACAAAGAATTATAAGATGAATATATGCTGGGAATCTAAGGTACTATATTTAACAATGCTGTATTGTTTACTTGAAAGTTGCTAAGAGAGTAGATCTTAAACGTTCTCACCACACACACACACACACACACACACACACAATTGTAGTTATGTGAAGTGATATATATATTAACTTCTTTGGTAATTAATCATTAGCAGTACATACATATATCAAATTAACATGGTATATACCCTAAACTCATTGACAATGTTATATGTCAATTATTTCTCAGTAAAGCGGGTGGGGGAGATAATTCTAGCTGTCATGTGGAATGTAGGATCTATGGAAAGAGTAGAAATATGGAGAAAGTTAGCAGGCAATTGGGAGAATTGCTGGTATGTTGGACTTGGAAGGTTGTTGTGGAGGAGATGAGAAATGATCATATTAAGAGTAGATTCAGAAGGTAAAGTTGCTATGATCCTTCCTATGACAACATGACTCACATTTGGAAGTTCAATGTTTTATTCTTAAAAGAGATAGTGCTCACTTTCCTAAGTTCATTTAAAATGTCACTATAAATAATGACATTTTAAAATAACATAAATAACATAAAAATATTGGTTTCTTTCAAATGTTCACTATTCCTGTTGCCAAGAGAAGATATCTTAATGAAATTCTCTATCAGTTTTTTCTATTAAAGTTTCTGACTGGAATCCTATAGTCAAGACAGAGAAGAAGCTGAAAACTCTTTGTGTAACATTTATCAAGGCCCATGTACAGGAAAGGACCTTTATATTTAAAATGTTTGACAGAGTATACTTTTTTTTCTTGTGTCTATGCAAGAGAATGAAGCAAACTGAAGTCACAGGATTTAGTAAATAAACACATTATATCTAAATAACTAAGAATACTTTGAAGGATATCATGGTAGAACCTCCCACCAGTACCCTGCTTTATGTCTTGCCTCCTTTTTTGTTAATGCCTCCTTTAGACACTGTTTCATCCAAACCAGCTGCCATGATGTGAAACGTGACCACACAGTTGTGTACTCAGAAATGAGCTCTGATGGTCCTAGCCCCACAGGAAATAGCTACATGACACAGAGCACACCATTGAGCTCTCTGAGAATTCATTTTCTAAGCATTAAAATGAAGAGACCGGACTAGAGAATTTCAAAATTCTTTCCAGTTGCAAGATTTTTATGACTGTCCCTCTCTGACTTTTACACATGCTTTAATTGCCATTATTGTGCTTATAATTACTAAATCTACATTTCAAGTGTAATCCTTTCATGAGGTCCATTCTCATATAGCAAATGGCCTCCTAAACATCTCTACCTGGACATTGCATAGGCACCTCAAATACACCGTGTCCAACAGGATTCATTTACTTTCCTCAGTAACTTGCTTCTTTTTACGTATATCTTCTTTATATTGCCTATATACTGCTCTCTTTTTTACTAAGTTTTGTACCATATCTTTCTTGCAAGTAGCTATCTACTTATCTGAGCTCAAAACTCAGCTCAAATGTCACCTTCTATGCCTACTTTCTTTCCAGATGGAATTTTCTATTATTTTCCATTGTTATTCTGATTAGTCTGGTTTCAAGGGACCCTGTGCTTGCATTTTTAACTCCTTGAAGATTGGGATAGTTTCTTGCTTCTTTGTGATTCTACCCTAGCTTAGAATGCATCACATTAGGTGACTAACCAATATTGAATCAATGAATGAAAATGAAAATTCTATTATCTGAGGATTGCTCATGTCTGTCTTATCCAGCGTATGTCTTCCTTTCTACAGGCTCTTCAAGACATGGAGAAGTCATTAGCTCTCTTACCCAGGTTCATCTACTCACCTGCTTAAGAAAACTAATAAATTCTGAACTTCATTTGTTTGCACACGTTCTTCTACTGTGGGAATTGGTGTCCTGTTCATGTACAATCTGTCTTGCAGAGTACAAAGACCTCATTTTCTCTTTCTTTCTCATCTTCCATTCAATTGAGATTAGAATAATAACCACTAGCCAGTTTTCAATAGATGTGCATTCCTTCAACCCCACATTTGCCTCAGTGCCCTCTTGGTAAACAATAAAAATTTTCGTCATCACAGACATTTATATATAAACCAGTCTCATCATGAGCAATTAACAACTGTACTTCAGCTCCACAAAATGTTAATGAAATTTAATCCTGATACTTAGCTCTCATTCAGTAAGTTTATTTGAGCAAATAAATTGACATATTTGAGTGGCTGAATTGTTCTCAGGAATTTCTTAAAATGCCTTCTACTCCCTGGTCAGGCTGGAGAAAATGAACCAAGGTGAGTTATGTTGGCAAGATCAAGAAATCATGTGTGACATGTAAAAATGGTAGAATCAGCTTTCCTTCCCATTGTGTTTGTTTGTTTGTTTAACTTGCTAGTGCTAGAGCAATTAAAATGAAGTCACAGACAACATAGAGAGAAGTTTGCCTTAGAAGATAAGTTTCTTTTTCTTAGGTCCATTGCTATCACATATCTTTTATGGCTTCTTGAGATAAATTATTTTCTCAAGTTTGCCCTTACCTTCTTTCCTTGAAGGGGTTACTACTTTATTACTCCCATAGTTATTTTCTCCCCTTTCTATTCCTCCTGTAATTTCTTGATAGAGTTAGGAATTGATAGAAACAGTTCATTTATCTTTGAAAAGATCACTGATATTATAGACTAGCTCCTCAGTTAGATTGAATATGATAGAACCAAATAAATATTAGTACTGATAATAATTAGAATTGCTCTGTGAGTGCTTTATTAAGTATTACTTATAACTACATAATAATCAATGGAGTCAATTCTCAAAACAACCCTGTGATTTAAGGACCTCGCCTTTTACAGGTGAGGAAAAGAAGGATTGGAGAGGTTAAGTAGACTATCTGGGGTCTCAGCCAGTAAATAACTGAGTTAAAATCTGAATTCCTGTCAGCACATTTCCAATTCACTAGTGCTTGTAAGTAAATGTGAATGCAGTTGTTCATGCCTTGAGGAGTGGTGCTCACAACAAATGGTGACCTGTTCAGAGGGGATGCAGCCCCTGTTCCTGTTGTCACTGAGCTGGGAGAAGATTCTGATGGCTGAGATGTTGAAACGGTGCATGTAATGAATTGAACTGAGGAATGACTGACTCACACGATGTTTCTTTGCCTTCTAGGAAGATTTCCAACCCGCAGCAGCCTCAGAGACCAACTGGGAGTCCGTCACAAGCTCTATCTCAGTAAGTAATTGATTTTTCTGTTGCCAGTGGGGGGGAAAATTAAGGAGTAGCTAAGGTCAACCCAGAGCAACATCAGCGGTATTAAGGGCCTATGCCTTAACCACAAGCCAGATCTCAAGCATGGTGTGTTCTCTTTCATGTAGGTTACAGTGGCTCTGCCAGATACCCTTTGCCCTCTCCCAGACAGTTTTCAGGAAATGCCAGTTCTCATTATGCGAGCACAGAATAGACAATGGCTTAAGTATTTATCAGTTTCAAAGCAGAACGTTCCAACCAAAGGACTGTGCAGATACATCAAACATAGCAAACTGGTCCACGGCCCACGCTCAAGTGGGGAATTTTGAAATAGTTTTTTTTTTTGTTTGTTTTTTGTTTTTTGTTTTTAATATTCTAGGGAGGCTCTTAACCTTTGCATTGTCTAGGATCTTTTCAGACGTGAAAAAATTCCAATGTTTACAGTAAGATAACTTAAGTGCAAATCAGGCATGTGTTCTATGTGACTTGGAAATAAAACATCACTCGTACTGAAACTGTAAAATGGCTCATGACCCAATTTTTGTTCTCCAAATTTAGTCATTTCTCAGTATTCTGTCTTCTTATCTTCTTTGCACAGAAAGAACAGACCTTGTTTTCACCAAGTCTATGGGTAGCACTGATGTAGCAATAAAATACAAGCTAACAAATACAGCTGTTCGCTGAAAGGTCAGAAGCATGGAGAAAGCTAGTCTCGGTTCTAAAGTGGGTGGTGGGTGCGGGAAGAGATTGAACAAAAACTGTGCACCTATGGATGAGGACCATCGGGGGTGGGGAAAGGGCAGAGGGTGGGGTGGGAACCTGGTGGAGGGGAGCAATGGAGAGGAAAAAAAAGAGGAACATTTGTAATAATCTGAACATTAAAGATTAATTTAAAATAAATAAATAAATAAATAAATAATAAATAAATAAAGTGGGTGTGGCTAAGTCACTGGAGTTGATCCCCCACTCCTTCAAAGTGATATGCTATCTTTTGCTCTTTGGGGGATTTTAAGAAATTGCCTCAGATGGCAGGATTCCCTCAGCTCTGGATTCTGTGAGGATTTGATTCGCCAGGCATGCCTGCTGGACTACAACAGCGCAGCCAGAGATCAGTGAGGCCTCTGAGAGTGATGTTAGAGTGTTTTATTTGTGTGGTTTTGACAGTCCAAAATGCCTACTCTGAACACAGCTAAGTCAATCACTGTCAGGCAGGTGATGATGAAAATAAGGCAGGTAAGACTGCAGAGCTGGGGCTAAGCAGGAGGCTTGGACAGTTAGCAGCCTGAGACTGTCAGTTCAAAGTAGATTCCAGAGGCGGCTCTGAAACCAAGACCTGGCATGCTATTCTGACAAGACATCCTCCAGCTTCGCAAGCTTCTTACATAACAACTCAAGGGCTGTCTGCCCAGTCCTGCCCGAAGTGCAGAAGTTGCAAGCTTAAAGGACCCAGTACTAACTCAAGATAACGCCAGTTCTCTAAATGAGAGAGATCAGGCCGTCTATATCTGTGAAACCTCAGCCCTGAGTCCACACCGACCAAGAAGTCTTCAGATTGGCTCCAAATCCAGGTTCTGGTTAGTCCTCTGGGAAGACTAAATAGCCGTGGCTTCTTCCACCAGCATTCTGGTTTTCAAGAACCTCTGCACTACAGGCAGGGTCTCTGAACCTACCAGTAATTGTTGTACAAACCATACTTTGTGGTGTGAGTGGTTAGCAAAACTGATTAACAATCTTCAGAGCATTTTTTTTTTATAAGTTATTCTTTTAAGTTAATTCAGTTAGGTTTAGAATGTGTTTTTGTAAACATATAACAAAAGCTGAATGAGATCAAAATGTGCGCTTGAAGGAGGCACACCCAAATAGTTATTGCTCTCAAAAATAGGTTTTAAATAATTACCTAAAACCAAAAATGTTCTCATGGGTTTTTTAGGTCATGTCATTCATAAACATTTTTGAAGAATATATTTTATTGATTTTTTAAAGAGAGGAAGGGAGAAGGATAGAGAGCTAGAAACATCTATGAGAGAGAAACATCGACCATCTGCCAAGGTACATGCCCCTGACCGGAATCAAACCTGGGACCTTTCAGTCCATAGGCTGATGCTCTATCCACTGAGCCAAACCGGTTTCGGCCATAAACATTTTCTTTACCATCTTCTATGTTTCTGTCCATTGTCCTGGGTCAACACTTGAAAAAGGCACTAAAGCTCACACATAAGCACTTTGTCACATTTTATCTGTGGGTTGGGTTTGCTCTTCAGACTAATGTTAAAAGAAATTATTTACTCCCTTCTCTTGAGACTGAGGGAAACGCCCCCTCCCCTCAGCTTTTGCTTGATAAGTTATCTGGGTACACGCCACTTCCCAGGCACAGTCAAGAGCAACCCCAGGAGCAACGTGCAGGCGTTCCCCTTTGAGAGCCATTGTAAGAAGCTTTTGTTTGGGTGGAAATGGATCCATGGCTATCCCTGCTTTTACTTTAAAAGCCCAGGAAGCATTTTAATTTCAAAGCTTTTATATGCTGCCCATGCACCTAACACTGGCCAGTTCATTTTGGTTTTCTGGTTTAGACCCATATTATTGTGTTACAAGACTCATTGTAAATCATCCGGTGACTATGAGCCAGGTAGACAGTAGATTCTTCAGACAATACAATTTGAATGGGAATTTAGAATTTTGGGACTGAATCAAAGTATCATCTACCTCTAGTATTGATGCCAAGAGGAATGTGAAAGGCAAAAATTAGGTACTTCAGTAAGGGTTCAGCTTAGACACACACACACACACACACACACACACACACACACACACACACACATGCACCTAGTGTAAGGAACTAGCCTGACACTTTCACCCATCTATCTCATGTTTCCCACCGAAGAACTAACACTCACTTTCTCCTACACTACAGGGCATATTTGAAAACTGCTCATACGCACCAGTGGTAGGTTAATGCTTTCATACACTTAGTTTCACTAAAGAGCAACTATTCCTGTCAAAGCAAGTGATCACTGAATCGCTTACAGACCTTTGGCCTTTGCTTGGTTAAAAAGAGAAAACATTACCTGAGAGTGAGAATATAAATGTGGGCTTTACTATCTCTGATTCTGGTGCATATTAATTCTCAATAGGGTACCGCAGTTAAGTTTCAGGAACACAAGTTTTCATTAATTTCCATTTTCTTGCAGTCATAGGAGATGTTTGCCCTTGGGGGATCTTATTTGTTTGGCTATTTCTTTAAAGACATTTAGAAACCATTTAAGATCACACACTCTCTAGTTCCTTGTCAATGGGTCATGAATTTTACAGAGATGTTTGAATCATGGCTCATTTACCTCTAGATTAGTGAAGGGTTAGTGAAGTAAGTGCGTGGAAACTTATGTGGAGATATGTTTCAGAGAAAAATACATAATCCGTTCCAGACTCTCAATGATGTGCATTACCATTTAAAAAAGTATTCCTGACAGTATTTTCATGGCACCTAGAATCACTAGCAAGCCGCAGCACTTAAAAAATACATTTGCCTCCCACATAAATCTTTCACTCTGAAGTCAAGAGAGCCAGCTTCCTGGCTAATTATCCTTATTGACAGTAAATAAGCCGATTACAGTGCCAAATTTTATCAAGATTTCTCCAGAGTAGATTCAAACTCTGTTCACACAACACCTGCAATGCTAGCTGCCCCAAAAAGATGGGTCACAGAGGCTAGTCCTGGGAGAATGGGACAGATATGCAAAACTTGCCTGAAAGGAGTTCAAAATTTAATTGCTCACCATTAGTTGTTGATATGGATATGGATGTGGGACATTAACCATGAAACTGGATTACTTAATTTTAATATTTCTACCTAGCCCATGTCTTTTATAATGATTAACATTCAGATGATGTGGAAGTTTTATAATCTGCCTGGTTTGGATTTGCAAAAAAGTGAATGGTTATCACTTACCAATTATTTGTGTTTGTTTAGAAATAGTACTGTAGCATGATATTTATACACAGGTTGGCTTATAATCCCGGCCTTGTCTATCTTCCTTCCATGTAGTTGTATGACTATTGTATTTCACAGCAATGGGCCTTTTCTGAGTACACTGAGCTGTATGTCACTCTTAGGGGGTATCCTATCGCGCACCATCAGTCACTGACACCGCCCTCACTGCGGATGCTCTGGATAAAACAGTTGCACAATTTGATACAGTGGAAGATCTGCTCAAGTATTTCAGTCCTGAATCCTGGCAAGAAGATCTTGAGAGTCTGTATTTGGACACCCCTCATCATCGAGGCCGGTCATACCACGACAGGAAGTCAAAAGGTAAGAAACAGAGCATTAGATAACTGTATTAATAATTAGATAACTGCACTAATAATTAAAGATTAGCAATGCAACATTTTTAATTCACTTAAATCAGGTGATTATTGTCATTCCATTTTCATGTATCTTTTTCACATCACCTGCATATGAAGTTCTATGTTTTTTCCAAGCTGTGCTGTTTGTATGGGATTAAGAAAGGTACGATTTAGTCAAAGGTCTGCCATAGTTTGAAGCTAGAAAAGGCCTTATAAAATTATTCAGATGAGCTTTGTGATTCTAGGCAAGTAAGGTATTATTAACCCCACTATAAACAGTGAGTAACCAAAGTCAAGGGAAGTAAATAATTGGTCATAGCCTGTGGCTAGTTAGCAATGGCAAGGAGGTGAGAATTATGACCTCTTGCTTCCAGTGGCAGAGCCAGTGCCTCTCTGATGAATATTCATTTAGCCCAGGACTCAGTGTTGGAAGAGAGGCTCCTGGTAAAGCAATGGTCAAAACTCATTGTGGATTTCAATTCTACTCATTTGATGTCTATTTTACAAATTTTTTTACGAGGACCTACCATGTATAATACTTGACATCCTGGGTGGTTCATAGGATGTAAACATCCCCAGATAGAAGCAAAGAAATCTAGGATAGTATATGTAATAGGGAGATTCAGGAAAGTAAAATGAAGGGAGAAGATAGTTTCTGTTGGAAAACAACCGATAGTAGACCATTTGGACTGAAGCAACTGGTTAGTTTAACTCCTACCTGCGTCTGCTGCTGACTTGGGCAATACTCTTACACACTTCCAATGTATACTTTAGGTGGCACAGGAGAGTCACTGGTGGCCCTCACTGGTGGAGCTGTTCCATATGCATATAACTGTAACTCACACTGAGTCTCCCCAGGCCTCAGACTGGATTCAACTCAAAGGAAAAACTGCTTTTCTGTAAGGTGTCACAGTCTTTTAATATTTATTAGGAAAACTTAAAGGAAAGTAAAATATTCATAATGATTTTAAGACCCCCCAAAAAATTTTAAGTGGTATTTGACAAAAAAATGATAAAATATGACTATTGTTAAATATCTTAATCACTATAGCTATTCAAGGAGCAAACCCTCATGCACCTATTTTTTTTTAAGTCACTACTTTTCACATAGAAATTATTTTAAGTTTGAGGCAGGGCATCTGCATTTGCATCCTAACCATACCACTTGCAAGTTTTGTAACTTTTCAGCAAGTCATTGAACCTTCCTGAGCTTCTGGCTTCTCGTTGGCAATGTATATATGACAGTAGTGACAGCACCTACTTCCAGGAATCCTTAGTGGTGCTAGTAAGAGGACCTGGCACCTAGTACTTGTTTAAGAAATGTCAGCTAGTGGCAGGTGCTTGGAATTCTGAAATATCTTTGCATCTCTTCCTTGGTAAGATCTTTCTTGTCCTTTGTCCTCTCCCTGTGGACCCCATTTTCCCCCTGCCTTCCCCGCCAAAAAAAAAAAAAAAAGTTTAGAGTACTTGGGAATCCACAGCCCTTACATGTCCTTCTACTGCATTGTTATTGTACTTTAAAGGGAACATGCAGTCCTAGGACTTAGAGCATTCACTGTCACTTAACATTAAATCACCTGAGAATCTTTAAAACAACAACAACAACAACAACAACAAAAAACTACAAATGTCTAGTCCCATCTCAGACGCACTGACTCAGAATTTCTGAAGATGGCACAAGATGGCGTGTTGATGTTATGTGATGGCCCCTGAGAGGTTGAGGTTGCTCATTAGAGGAAACCATGGTGGAGAGCTACGGCTTTGGAGATTGTTCGTCCCATGTCTCCAGCACTTGGCACAGGCTCTGACACATTTTAGCTGTTCAATTACTGTTCGTGATATTGATGATATTAATAACCCAGCATTAGTATATTTCTAATGTTTACAGAAACCTACCCCATATACTAAGGGTTATAGATTTATTAAGAATGCCTTTACCCCAGCCTGGTGACTCAGTTGATTGGAGTGTCATCCCACACACCAAAAAGGTTGCCAGTTCGATTTTTGATCAAAGCACATATCTAGGTTGTGGGTTTCATTCCCAGTCAGGATGCATCCAGGAGGCAACTGATGGCTCTCTCTCTCTCTCTCTCTCTCTCTCTCTCTCTCTCTCTTCCTTTCCTCTCTCTCTAAAATCAATAAACATATATTGGGGTGAGGATTTTTTTTTAAAGATGCCTTTGGTTGCTGAAATAACTTCATAAGAGCATTCAAGGTGACATTGTACTTTTTTCTGACAGAGTAAACATTTTTCTCCCCAGTTGGCTTAGATTCTATTTCTTAATCTCTTGTTTAAAATCGTCCTGAGGCAAATCTGTACTGTTTCATTTAACATTGGCAAGTCACCACAGCCTCTGCACTTGTATAAATGTGCTGATTTAATTGTTTATCATTCCACTGATGCGGAACCACCTGCATGTGTCACAAGCAAAGAAAGTCAGGTTTAATATTTCAGCTGCTAGTTTCAGCTTCTGGAACTTAAAAATACAAGTTTGTGGTTTGTATCCTGATGTATAAAAAAGGGATATGTGAGTAATGAGTGAAAACAGAAAAACTAGATACCTAGTGGTATCATTAGGTATTAAATAAATTGTGAACTTTATAGGATCCATAAAAGGTTACCTGTTATCAGAATGGTAACTGTTAATGATGTTATACAGAAGCAAATATACTTTATTAATATCTATTAAATATCCATTCTTCTGATTTGCCCAGACTGATTAAAAGTGTCATTTTTCTTGATACCAATGAGCAAGATTCTAAGATGACCCTTCATTGTCAAAGGGTCAAACACAGAGTTTTGTAAATCCTATCTAATAAAGAGGTAATATGCAAATTGACCATCATTCCAACATACAAGGTAGCTGCCCCCACATGGTCAAAGATGCCTGCCACCATGTGGACACAAGATGGCCACAACATGATGGCCAGCAGGGAAGGGTAGTTTTGGGCAACTGGGCCAGCAAGGGAGAGCAGTTAGGGGTGACAAGGCCAGCAGGAGAGAGCAGTTAGAGGTGACCATGTTGGCAGGGGAGGGCACTTAGGAGCAACCAGGCCAACAGGGAAGGGCAGTTGGGAGCAACCTGGCCTGCAGGGGAGGTTAGTTAGGGGAAAGGGGTGGGCAGGCCTGCAGGGGAGGGCAGTTGGAGGTGACCAGGCCAGCAGGGGAGAGCAGTTAGGGGTGACCAGGCCAGCAGCAGTTAGGCATAGATCAGGCTGGCAGGGGAGTGGTTAGGGGGGTGATCAGGCTTGTAGGCAGAAGTGGTTAAGGGCAATCAGGCAGGCAGGTGAGTGGTTGGGAGCCAGCAGTCCTGGATTGTGAGAGGGATTTCCCAGATTGGAGAGGGTTTAGGCTTGGCTGAGGGACAGGACCACCCCCCATGCACGAATTTCATGCACTGAGCCTTTGGTTCTATAATGAACAACAACATTGGGTGAAGAACTTATGAATGAGGTAGAAAGAGTTAATATTTAAAATTAAATGTTATGCTTTTCTTCTATTGTTTATTTGAAGGTTGGTAAGAGTGAGTTTTTAGATCTCTTTAAGTAGAGAGTTGAAAATAGGAAGAAAGAGAACAGTAAAATTTTGGGGAGAAGAGGGAGAAAAAGACACAAATAACATTGTCAAGTATTAAAGCCAGAAATTCATCGCATAAGATCAACTTTTTAAAAATTCGCAAAAAATAGATAAGCTCCAACTTGAACTTCTGGCTGAAGATAATATTATAAGTTAATATGTTCAACTATAATTTTTCTTGGGGTAATGGAGAAAAGGTACTATAGATAATTGAAATCTATAGATAACTGTAGTTTCAAAACCCAATTTTTTGCCAATAATTTCAACCATATGCCTTCAACCTCAAAGCCTCTCAAAATTTTTAATATTTTTTTCTCAAGTTCAAATTTCATCTACTTACTCTGCCAATGCTAATATTAACATGGACTTGCAATTAATTAGTAAAAAAATTATAAAAGCTATGCAATTATCCTTTGAATCATTGTATGACAACTGAAGTTTAACTGAAATTATTCTGTGATGGGCTATAAAACACGTAACTTTAAATTTAAGGGCAGTGTTTCTATACTCAAGAGATCATAGTGTGAAACTTGGCATTTCTAAATTAAATGATTGGCCTTAAGCTCTACTAGACTAGGAATTCCTTTAGAATCAATTTGTAGATATGAAAAATATGAAACCTATACTTTTACTTATTCCAGGAGAACTTGATTTTCCAGAATGAGTGTTTAGCATAGAAAAATCCAACATGTATAATAGGAGGAAAAGTGTTTTCACTGTTTGAGTGTTGAATAAAAATATGGAGTTAATTGTTGATTCAGTTCATATTAGTAGTTCTGAACTATAATTATGCTTAAAAAATAGTTTCTACTTTGTATGTGCCAAAATTGATGACTCCCTTTTTTAAAAATCAGTATTTTAATATTGAGTGGATCAAATATATTGATAGTAATTTTAATATTGAGTGGATCAAATATATTGATAGTAATTGATTCCAAATGATGGGATTTGAAATATATAATGTTTACAGATTCTAAATAGATGCTGTAACATTTACAGTTGTAAATCCAGATATAATAACAATTATATTATTTCCCTCTAAAATCTAAAGCACTCAACTCTTTAATTTGCAAACTATTTGCTGGTAAATAGCTGGCATAAGAAACTGAGGAGTAAATAAAATAAATATGCTGTGTACCAAATGTTTTAAATGGTTCTGAGTTCTCTTAAGTCATAATACCTTTTATTTTTAAATTAGTCTTTACAGCTATTTCTGCTGTGTTATGCCTCTGTATGCTAACCAAGAAAATATGAATTTTCAATAGTGATGTATTCTGTGGTAAGAAATTTCAGAGTGCATTAAGATGTGAACACATTTTAGAAACAAGCCGAAGCCACCACAGGTGGAATGTCGTAACTGTGTCTGCCTATCTGAGATCTGTGTAAGA